GAGAGGGTGAGGGGGGTAGACGGCTTGCGTCCAGGAGTGTGAGGTCAGCCTGAGCAACATGGCGAGGCCTCGTCTCTACAAAAAAATTTTAAAATAGCCAGACATGGTAGTGTGCACCTGAAGTCCTAACTGCTCAGGAGGCTGAGGCAGGAGAATCGCTTGAACCTGGGAGGCAGAGGTTGAAGTGAACTGAGATGGTGCCACTGCACTCTAGTCTGAGTGACAGAGTGAGACACTGTCTCAAAAAAAAAAAAAAAAAAGAAAAGAAAGGTCCGCTGTACTCTGGAGGGACGTGCCCCAATGATCACCCACAAACCCACGTTTACAGGGTGCCCCTGAGAGCCACACAGAGCGTTACACATCGAGCTGGGCAGGAGGTCCCACCAAAGGGTGATGATCCTGGTGGGCCCAGGGGCTCCATGGCAGTGATTCTGAAACCACTGAGAACACTGGGCCCAGCGGTGGCAGGGGTACCTGTCTCCTCTGCAAAGGACTCCAGGCCTGATTCTGATCCCGCCCTTCTCTGCTTTGGGGTGAAGGAGACAGGAGTCACCAGGAGCGATTCGGGATGAAGCGGGGCTACTAAGAGCAGCCCAACTTAGGAGAAGACTCAGAAATGGAATCTCTTTTTTTTTTTTTTTTTTTTTGAGACAGGGTCTTGCTCTGTCGCCCAGGCTGGAGTGCAGTGGCGTGATCTCAGCTCACTGCAAGCTCCGCCTCCCGGGTTCATGCCATTCTCCTGCCTCAGCCTCCCGAGCAGCTGGGACTACAGGCGCCCTCCACCTCGCCCGGCTAGTTTTTTGTATTTTTTAGTAGAGACGAGGTTTCACCGTGTTCGCCAGGATGGTCTCGATCTCCTGACCTCGTGATCCACCCACCTCGGCCTCCCAAAGTGCTGGGATTACAGGCTTGAGCCACCGCGCCCGGCCTTCCTGGCTAATTTTTAAAATTTTTCGTAGAGATGGAATTTTGCTATGTTGCCCAGGCTGAGCTCAAACTCCTGGGCTCAAGCGATCCCTGGGCTCGGCCTCCCAAAGCGCTGGCGTTACGGGTGTGAGCCACTGTGCTTGGCCTCCCTGACTTTTCCGGAAGGCTGTGTATCCCGGAGCCCCTGGCCACCACTGACTCACCCACGTTGGTGGGGAAGAGGTCCTCGTTGTTGATTTGCGCCTCGATCCAGTCCATCAGCAGGTCCATGTACCTGGGGGCGGAGAGCGCCGTGGGCTTCCGGAACTTATGCTCATCCTGCCAGCGGTACTCGTACTTGGGGCCCCCCGACATGACGGGGCAGGACTGCTCCGTGCAGCCGTCGCTGATGGTGCCGTAGATGAGGTTGACGCGGTTAAAGAAGTCCACCACGTGAACGGCCACCCAGTCGTTCAGGTCCTCGCCCGGGGGCAGCTGCACGGCTAGCCGCAGGTCCAGCCCGGCGTTCAGCGACGCCTGCGCCTTCTTGTGCAACTCAAAGCGCTGGGTGCCCGGCTCGAACTTGCGCTTGGGGCGGAATGTCTTGTCCTTGTTGAAGACTTGCTTCAGGAAGGGGTTGGACATCTTGGTGACGCCTGCTCTCCTGGAACGCTTCTGCAGGGGGGTCCTGGGCCAGCGGCTGGAGGTGCCGACCAACCCGAGAGGCCACGAAACACTCACCAAGCCCCACGGCTCTCCCGCGGACCTGAAATACACAGGGGAATCATGACCTGCTGGAGGTGACAGAATTTCCCAGAAACTCGTGCTGACGGCACAAGCGGCAGAATTAGGTTTGTTTGTTTGTTTGTTTGTTTTTGATTTTCTGAGACAGGGTCTCGCTCTGTTGCCCCGGCTGGAGTGCAGTGGTGCCATCATGGCTCACTGCAACCTCTGCCTCCCAGGCCCAAGAGATCCTCCCACCTTAGCCTCCTGACTAGCTGAGACTACAGACACACACCACCACACCTGGGTAATTTTCTTTTAGTAGAAACGGGGTTTCTCTATGTTGCCCAGGATGGTCTCCAACTCCTGGGCTCACGTGATCCTCCCACCTCTGCCTCCCAAAGTGCTGGGCTTACAGGCCTGAGTCACTGCACCCAGCTCCTAGTGGCAGGGTTCAAAACATCCCCTGGACTTCTGACTTTAAGGAGTTTCACCCAAGGGGGCCACCTCCTCAGTGCACAGAACAGAACTGCACATGGCGAGGCCTGACTGGCTCACAGTAGAAGGTGCAGAGAGCCGGGCCCCAAGAGCCCACAGCGGCCACATCTTCCCCGGTGCTGATGCCTGGCTGGGGCCTGGACTTGCTGCTACCTGGCACTCTGGGGCTTGAGTGTGGGGGCAGGCTAAGCTGCCGGTTATAGGGGACTACGCAGGCCGGACTGTGGCCTCCACAAAGGAAGCCACGCCCCAATGCCCGCAGCCTGTGCATGGCAGCCTAGGTGGAAAAAGGTCTTGAGGGATGTCATCTTGGATGACCTGGGTGGCCCTACAGTCAGAGACAAACGTCCTTATGAGTGAGGCAGATACGAGGGAGACAGCTCTGTGAGGACAGAGGCAGATACGGGGGAGACGGCTCTGTGAGGACAGAGGCGGATACGGGGGAGACGGCTCTGTGAGGACAGAGGCGGATACGGGGGTGATGCTTCCACAAGCGAAGGGCCCAGGATGCTGGCCACCACCAGGAGCACAGAGAAGCCTGGCAGATGCCCCTCGGCCTCAGAGGGACCCAGCCCCGCCCACACCTTCATCGCAGACGTGCGGCCCCAGAGCTGACAGAATGAATCTCTGTCACGGCAGCGTTGTCTGCTGTGCCCAAGTCACTGGTCACTGGGTCAGAGACCCCTGCGAGGCCAGGCGCAAGTGGCTCAAGCCTGTTTAAATCCCAGCACTGTGGGAGGCCGAGGTGGGTATGGATCACTGAGGGTCAGGATGATTCGAGGACTCATCCTGGCTAACACGGTAAACCCCCGTCTCTACTAAAAAAATTACAAAAACTAGCCGGGCGAGGTGGGCGGGCGCTGTAAAGTCCAGCCTTTTTTACTCGGGAGGTTAGGCAGGAGATGTGTAAACCGGGAGCAGAGCTTGCCAGTGGAGCGAGATCCGGCCACTGCACTCCAAGCCTGGGTTGGAAACAGAGCGAGATTCGTCTCAAAAGAAACAAAAAAAACCAGAGAACCCTGCGATTGGTGTGGATCCCTCTGCTTGCTGATTTTCATCTGCAAATGACCCCCTCCATCGTTTGATGCACAGGCGGAGATGCTGGGGTGATTCACAGCGGGGCAGCCTGTTCCACCTCAAGGACACGTATATAAAATGAGAAACTCCAGGCGCCAGCCCAAGGTCTCACGCACACACTGTGAGCGGTGACTTGTAGACACCCTGGGTTCCGTGGCGTGGGCCCGGCATCCACTGACTCCCTGAACCTCAGGGAGAGAAACAGATTCCCATTCCGCACAGGGCGAGGGACGACCTGGATCACACACGCGCATGTGCCAGGTTCACACTCAGCATGCAGGCCTGTCACTGCCAACACCGTGTCACTACCAGGACGCTGGCACCGTGGCAGGCCAGAGTGGTGCAGACCCCACCCTGCTCTGCTGGGTGCACCTCCTGGACTGGCATACTTGACTGTGACACTTGGGCAAGGCCCACGCAGGGCACTGGGCAGGGCAGGGGTCCTCACCACAGCAGAAGAGGACCCGCAGAAGGGGGAGTCAGAGAGAGGAGAGGGAGTGAGGCCACGCAATGCCCAGGCCCACTGGGCTCCATGCAACGCTCCAAGAAATAACGCCACATTCATTATGTTCTAGTACACCCAACCCACACCTCATTTTTTTTTTTTTTTTTGAGGCAGAGTCTTGCTCTGATCCACCAGGCTGGAGTGCAGTGGCCACGGTCTCGGCTCACTGCAGCCTCTGCCTCCCAGGTATAGAATTCCGTTGCTCTCAGCCTCCCAAGTAGCTGGGACTACCCTGGCACTTGGCCACCAACACCCTGCTTAATTTTTGTGTTTTTAGTAGAGATGGGGTTTCTCCGTGCTGGCCAGGCTGGTCTCAAACTCCTGACCTCATCTGGTCCACCACCTTGGCCTCCAAAGTGCTGGGATTACAGGCGTTGCGCCACCGCGCCCGGCCGTGTTGCTGTTACTTGTGACCAAGTCCTGTCTTGCGTCTCATTCCTCACGATGCATGACTGGGAGAGTGTCCTGGGGCTGCCATCACAAATCACCACAGATTTCGGGCTGAAAACAACACCCATGTATCACGGGGAAGCTCCCAGCTGTTGGGACTGGATCCTGTAGGGTTAAATTTAAGGTGTGGACAGGCCAAACGCGGTGGCTCACGCCTGTAAGGACTTTGAGAGGGTGAGGGGGGTAGACGGCTTGCGTCCAGGAGTGTGAGGTCAGCCTGAGCAACATGGCGAGGCCTCGTCTCTACAAAAAAATTTTAAAATTAGCTGAGTGTAGTGGCACATGCCTAGGAGGTCCTGGGAGGACCGTTTGAGCCTGGGAGTTCGAGGCTGCAGTGAGCCACGTTCATACCACTGCCTGGGCACAGAATAAGACTCTGTCTCAAAAAATAAAAAATAAAAACAAGGCATGAGCAGAGATGGATCCTTCCAGAGGCCCCAGGGCTTACGGTTAGGGTACCCCCCAACAGACAACAGAACGGCCCCCACCAGAGAATGATCTGGACCCAAATGCTCACAGGGCCTGGGCATCGGGGGAAGAGATGCTGCATTGTTTAGAAGAAAAGCAAGTTAGAGGCTGGGTGCAGTGGCTCACGCTTGTAGTCCCAGCACTTTGGGAGGCTGAAGCGGGCGGATCACCTGAGGTTGGGAATTCAAGATTAGCCTGGCCAACAAGGTGAAACCCTGTCTCTACTAAAAATACAAATATTACCCAGGCGTGGTGGCGCGCACCTGTAATCCCAGCTACTTGGGAGGCTGAGGCAGGAGAATTGCTTGAACCTGGGAGGCAGAGGCTGCAGTGAGCTGAGATCATGCAACTGCACTCCAGCCTGGGCGACAGAACAAGACTCTGCCTCAAAACAAAGCAAAACAAAACAAAACACGGTGTCCACTGTGAACACAGTGACAACAGAGTCTGCACCATAAGAAGGTACAGGGTCAATGGTTTGTCACAAGGGAACACCTGGTGAGGACCAGCTGGGGGCACTGCTCAGGGCAGCCTGGGTACAGGTGGCAGGAGGACTCGGGTCCCACACACTCTGCGGTGACCAGAAAGGCCTGAACTTCCCCAGCGCCAACCTGGGGCCCTGAGCCACCATCGTGACTTCCTGCCACCAGGGTTAACACCCAACTAGGAACTTACACTTTTCATTTTCCTGGGACAAAAGCCCCATCTCCACTTCACAGATGAGAAAACCAGGCCTCTACCTGCTGGCTCTGTGGACATCGGGGTCGGACCGTTCTCTGGGGTGGGGCCGTCCTGGGCACTGCAGGGTGCTGAGCAGCGTCCCTGGCCTCCACCCACTCCCTGCCGGGAGCACCCTCAGTTGCGACAACCACAGATGTCCCCAGACATCACCCAGTGTCCCTTGGGGTTAAGATTAGATCGCTCTGGTGAGATCGTGGCTCAGAAGATTATGACTGACTCTACAGCCGTGTCTCACACCACACAGCTAGTGGGTGGATCGGCTGGGGCTTGAACCCTGGCCTCTGTGGGTGAAGCCACCGCTGTTTCTGCCCCACAACTCCCTGAATTCAGCAACTCTCGGGGACGCGGGCAGCCGTCTGATCACGAACCTAGTGACACACGCTTCCCGGGCCAGTGCTGCTCCACCATGGGGCCCCTGCACTGCCCAGCAGAGCCACGTGGATGCTCCGAGTCCAGGGGCTGCTGACCCGTCCTGGTTTTGCTGGGGGGCACAACCCCAGGGTGAGCACACAGGTACCCCTCTGCTTGCTTCTATTTTTAGAGAGGTTCTCGCTCTGCTGCCCAGGTTGGAGTGCAGCGGCGGGATCACGGCTCACACTTCAGCCTGGACCTCCTAGCTCAAGGGATCCTCTTGCCTCAGCCTGCTGAGTAGCTGGGAGCACGGGCACTCACCGCCATAATATTTTACAATTTTTTCACCACCAGCTAATTTTTTTTTTTTTGTAGAGACAGGATCTCACTATGTTGCTAGGCTGGTCTTGAGAACTCCTGGACTCAAGCGATCCTTCTACCTTAGCTTCTCAAGGTGCCAGGATCACTGGCATGAGCCACTGTGCCTGGCCACCCCCGCCCACTTCCCAAGGAAGGAGCGATCCCACAGCCGAGTCTCAGACCCTCCCTGGGAAGCGCCTGATTCAAAGAGGCCACCTCTGTGCTTACGGTATCCCCCTGGGGCTGGGGAGCCCAGGACACATCCATGCTGGGGCTGAGCAGGTGGGAGCCATTGGTGGGACCTGAGGCCCTTCCCCATTGATGGCTCAGCACCCCAGAGGCCAGCACCTGCCCCGGTGATGAGCTCTGCAAACCACACCTGCCCTCAGGCCACACCGCCTGCTACACAAGATCAACAAATCCCCTCCGGAGAAGGGAAACGGCGGCCACCTCCAGGCCACGGCCCACCTGGCGCTGAGCGAGATGCTCCTCCGCACCGGGGATCAATCACCTCCGTCCCCACACGCCTGTCTAGATGGGGCGAGTGCAGGCCTCACTTTACCAGAGAGGAAACCGCGCAGGCGAGCGCATCCCCGTCCACCCAGCCAGGCCCACTCGCCTCCCTCCTCCCCATTTCCACTTCACGTCTGGGCCGACTCACAGCCGACTTCCCAACACCAGCAGAAATCACAGCACAGAGCAAAACCCAACCCGCCACGGCCCGGTGCTGCCCTTTGGGGATTTCAGGGTCTCCCGTGCCAATTTGGGGGCTCAGCTTCCAACCATGCCACCTGGTTGGGCAGGCGGGGCTTTCCAGCAGTGGTGTGGTAGCCCTGGGCTGACTGCAGCCACAGGAGGAGACGCCTACCCGGGCTGCGCCTCAGGGAGAAAGTGGCTGTTCCCACAGGTCCCTGCTTGTCTTTTTAAAACTGTTTGTAGAGATAGGGTCTCACTACGCTGCCCAGGCTGGTCTCGAACTCCTGGTCTCAAGTGAGTTCTGCCTCGGCTTCCCAAAGCCTCTCCTCCTACTGCCTCGGCTTCCCAAAGTGCTGGGATTACAGGCGTGAGCCACCATGCCTGGCCGAGGCTTCTCTTTTTCTATATCCCTTTACACTTCTCTACCAGACTCATGCCAAAGACAGTTAGTTCCAGAAAACAAGACAGGGCAGCCCAAAGAGTTTGTAAACTCCCTCTCGGCATGTCTGTCTCCTTTCAGAAGGTGACGGGTGCGGGGCGAAGGGGCTCATGCCTCTAATCCCTGCACTTAGGGAGGCCAAGGTGGGTGGATCAGTTGAGGTCAGGAGTTTGAGACCAACCTGGCCAACATGGTGAAACCCCATCTCCACTGAAAATACAAAACACTAGCCGGGTATGGTGGCGTGTGCCTATAATCACAGCTACTCAGGAGGCTGAGACAGGAGAATCGCTTGAACCCAGGGAGGCGGAGGCTGCAGTGAGCTGAGATCATGCCACTGCACTACTCTAGCCCGAGTAACAGAGTGAGACTCCGTTAAAAAAAAAAAAAAAACAGGTGCAGCATTTTAAGTGGAAGTTAACATCTTCTGAAGAGCCCTGTGGACGGGCAGAGTTCCCGTCACAGCAAACGGTTTTCTTTTTCCTTTTTAATTTTTTTTGAGACAGGGTCTTGCTCTGTTGCCCAGGCTGGAGTGCAATGGCGCGATCTCGGCTCACTGCAACCTCTGCCTCCCGGGTTCAAGCGATTCTCTTGCCACAGCCTCCCCAGTAGCTGGGATTACAGGCGCCCGGCACCACACCCAGCTAATTTTTGTACTTTTAGTAGAGATGGAGTTTCACCATGCTGGCCAGGTTGGTCTCAAACTCTTTACCTCGTGATCCACCCGCCTCAGCCTCCCAAAGTGCTGGGATTACAGGCGTGAGCCACCATACCCGGTCTAATTTTCTTTTTTTTATAGAGACAGGGGTTTTGCCATGTTGCCCAGGCTGCTCTCAAATTCCTGGCCTCAAGCAATCCTCCCGCCTCAGCCTCCCGAAGTACTGGGATTACAGACACGAGCCACTGTGCCCGGCCTAAGCAAACCGTTCTCTCTCAGGAACAAACACAGGCTCCTTGGTGAAGGGGTGATCGGCCACAGAAAGGGGTTTTTTCCCAAGAAAGGCCAGGACGGCCTCAGGACCCTGACTCCCGCCCTCGTTGTCCCCTGAGGCTGGGGGCTGGTTACCGTGTCTGGGGCTCCCTCCGCTCTGCTCTTCTCAGATTTCTCCAGGGACAGTGTGGGGAAGACAAGGCAGGAATCAGCTCTCAGAATTCCACACCAAGGCCTTCTCGGCTGCCCCGGTCTTCCCACGGACGAGGCACAAGTGATCCTTGGAAACTTCTAGAGAAATGAAAGGTGAGATGACAAATTCCCCTGCTGCAACACTTTTTTTTTTTTTTTAAAAAAAAAAAAAAAAAACACAGTTTCTCTAAGCAACCAACTGGTATGACCCCTCCCCCGCCAAGGTGCAGCGGCTCACAGACCAGTCACCCACTTCCTTCCTGAGGTTTCCACATCCTGTCACTGCCTCGGGGACCGCTGCCCCAGAGCACAGGAGGCGCCTGAGAGACAAGCCCTGAGCAGAGACGTCAGTTCCCTATGTTCTAGGTCAGTGCACAACACTGGCTCCCGGCCTGGCAGCCCTGATACTTGGCTGGAAGATGCTCCCAGTCCAGAATCTGTCCTGTTAAAAAAAGGCAGCGTCGGCCGGGCGCGGTGGCTCATCACTGGCAGCCTTCGAACTCCAGGCTCAACCAGTGCACTCCT